AGGCAGCAGCAGCTCTGGAGCAAATAGTCTTTGTCTCCAATCTGTCAAAGTGCGACCCCTAGCCAAAAAAGTCTGGGTGACTTGGCTATCTGCAGAAAGCAGACAGCTGAGAGAGGAGAAACAGCCCAGCAAACTAGAACCTTACAGACCTTAACAAACTGGGGTCTTTGCAGGTCACAAAGGACATTCCCCTATTCCTTCCAATACTCAGTGAATTGCTGTGTATCAGAGGGGTGACAGTATTGAAGGGCACCCTGGCAAAGTTGAAAACCACAAACACTCCTTATTTCCCCTTGGGGACAGGTCCCACACCAGAGATTCTATAAGCTGGGGTGCTTCAGATGGCTTCACCACCCATCAGAACCCACATCCCACCTGGAGAGATTCAGCTGTGCCTGTCACAGCAAAGGGTAACTTCTGTTTCCTGAGCCTATGAGGTCTGGTGCTCCAAGGATCGAGAGGACTCACTATCACAGCCAGGCTCTAGATCATCGCAGGAAGAACATGTCCCCAGAAACACAAATGCCGCCTTAGGATGAGCTGTAATAACCAGGTGCTAGAATCATGCAGGGTAGAGCCAGGAGGTGGATTCAGGGAGTGGCAGTAGGCACTGAGATCAGAGTACCATCCCCTTCAAGTGGCCATCCTTTCTCAAGGTGGTCCAGGGGCATCCAGCTCAGGAAGGGAGGAGCTGGCAGGTTGAGCAAATACATGTCTGTCCTGTCGCCCTGTCCATCTTCTCCTGGGAGCACAAATGTCAGAAATCATGTTCTTTGTTACTACTGCATCTCTCAATCCTTCAACACGTGTGCTTCTGGGCAGAGCTCCAACACAGGGCCCTTTCTAGGTGGGCAAGGTCAAGATCACACCTCTGTGAACAGCAGTGGGCTCTGCCCTCAGACTATTTCACCTTGATTCTGGGCTGTCAACCCCTGAGCATAGGTTCTCTTCTCATTGAACTTGATCCCTGGCTAGTCTGGACACCTGAAATCTCCTGCTCCATTGTGAATCACACACACGCTCCTGACATGCTCTCTGGCCCAGGACTGGTCAGCCCCTGCAGTCTGGCCAATCCTCCGCCATCAGCCTGCAGTGCCTTTTTGCTGGCCAGGCTCTCAACGCCCTGTTCTGTGGACAGGACCAAACAGCACATGCCTGGAGGCACTGTTATGAGGAGCAGTGTATCCCTTCTCCATCCTCTCTATCTGGGGTGCATATGTGCAAATGCTGCATGACAGTGTAAAGGATGACATGGGCAGCATCTCCCAAACGGTGCTCAGCGGAACTCATTCTGTAAGACATCAGAGGCTGAGCAGAGGTAGAATTCAGACAGGCTGCTTTGCTGCAGAATCTGTGAGAGACTTTATATTCTTGTCTTCCAAGAGGAGAATATATAACTTCTAAAATTTGTTCTGAAGAATTATTTTTCAAGAGGTAGATCCCAGGAGATATCCAGATCATCACAGTGACTCTGCAGCTGATAGATGAGTGAGCATAGCCGGACATGCTGAGGAGTCGAGCATTCAGTGAAGCCCACATCTGGGACCTGCCCGCCCAGCACACAGATGTGTGTGTGTGTGTGTGTGTGTGTGGCCCTGAATCTTTGAACTGGTTGCCAAGATTTAAAATTTGGGAGACCTCATAGAAAAAATCTAGATTTCTGGCTTCTCTTCAAAAGCCAGCCACAGTGGCTCTACAATCTCTCAAGGTAACAACAGGAAGGAAGCCATGGGCTTGCACTCTTTAGAGAAAACTTGTGCTTTTCCCTGCAACCTGTGACCTCTGAGTCTGTAACTCCTGCTTAATATGGTGGCCACAGATTTTAAGTAATCTTGACATCAATAAATAAAGTTATGCATTTGGACAGAAAAATGTGATACACTCTGCTGAAGTCTCCGAGTACATCTAATGTGTCAATGGCAACAACTCTTGTTTTTAAAAAGAAAAAACACAGGCATTCTATGAAAAATAATGGGCAGAGAGTTGATCTCAACTCTGAGCAAACGAAGGAACAGCACAGACAGGGCAGCGGGCCTCAGAGATCGTTTTCATCTTCATTTGACTCTGAAGCCTAAAATCGGCAAGTTGGTGTGCCATGAAAAATTCATGGTGCTCCAGTTCCTAAATTTACAGTGATGATTTAGTCAATGGGTCTCCCTCAATGGTTATGCAACAGACACTGAGCATACCCACCGGCGCCCAGCAGCTACCACACCTGTGACAGGTAGAAGGTGTTATCTGCACAGGTATAAGCAAAATTCAAAGCTCAGCAAAGTTAAGTGGACCCACAAAGGCCAGGCAACTAGTCAGTGGTGGTGGGATTCCATGTGGGCATGTGAAGGTCCAGAACCCCCTCCTTTCCCTCCACATTACTCTCAAATTCAGCGGCACCCCAGAGAAGAGGACGGATGAACATGACCAGCTCGCTGTTGGAATAAGACATCAGGTTCCAAAGACCCTGTGATTATTCTGGCTGTGGCAGCAGACAACATGAACATATTTGAAGGGAAGTCAGCAAGATTTTACCTCTGAGTTAATGCCAGGAAGTCCACCAGGACTCTTGCACGAGCATCCCTGGGGTATCAAAGTGACATATCTGATTAGTGTCAGATATAAAGCTGAAGGTGTACAAGCCCCATGCAAAACAACCAGACACTTCTGAAGATTACTAGAAAGCTAGTCTCCTTTAAGTGGATGATGAAGGAAACGAAATAATTTCCTTCTGCAAACAGGTCAATCTCAGCTCAAGGTATCCAATATGGGCCAGAGGCAAAAGGGACCAATTGCCACCTTTTCATTTCCTGTCTAATAAGATATGGTCTTGGAATTGTCCTTAAGATTAGAGAGCTTTACTATTAGAGTGTGTATACAACCACCTAGGGAAATGCTTGTGATAAACTGATACTAAAAATAAACTAAAATAAAAGAGTATTGACACTACAATTACATTAACCACACAGAGACTTCAGTGTTCATCTGGACAAAGCTGAAACAAAACATGAAAAATATAAGGGCACTCACTCATTTTGGTGATCAACTTAAACTTAAAAAAAATCCTATTTTACTTCTATTAATGTTCCTAAAACCTTGTGTGATTGGTTCTTAAAATTATCTAAAAGGTAAAAAAGGAGGTTATCATATTAAGTGAAGTAAGCCAGACAGAGAAAGACAGGTATCATATGCTATCGCTTATATGTGGAATCTAAAAGAAGGAAAAAGATACAAATGAACTTGTTTCCAAAACAGCAAGAGACTTACAGACATAGAAAACAAATTTATGATTATAAAAGGGGAAAGGGGGTGGGGGGATAAATAGGATGTTGGGATTAACATATACACACTACAATGTATAAAACAGATAAACAACAAGGACTTATTGTCTAGTACAGTGAACTCTACTCAATATTTTGTAATAACCTATTAGGGAAAAGACTCTGAAAAACAATATGTGTGTGTGTGTATATATGGGCTTCCGTGGTGGCTCAGACAGTAAAGAAGCTGCCTGGAATGCAGGAGACCTGGGTTCGATCCCTGGCTTGGGAAGATCCCCTGGAAAAGGGACTGGCAACCCACTCCAGTATTCTTGCGTAGAGAATTCCATGGACAGAGGAGGCTGGTGGGCTACAGTCCAGGGGGTCACAAAGAGTCAGACACTATTAAGTGACTAACACTTTCACTTTCACATGCATATATATTATATGCGTGTATATACATATATACAAACATGTGTGTGTATATACATAAATGAATCACTGTACACCTAAGCTAACATGGTATACTTCAATAACAAAAAGAAAGGATGAGACGCTGAGGATTAACCTGCCTTTCTAATTCAGAATGAAGAAAGGAGTTGTAACAGGGTGCTGATGCAGAGACATTAACCAGTCTAACGGAAAGTGTACAAGGATCAGACGGACGTGTGTGTGGAGACTTGATGGAGACTGACATGGAACTGGGAATCAGTGGGAAACAGATTGCTTCTTCACGTCACACCTGAAAATAAACTCCAGGTGAACAAGAAGCCCAAAGCTCAGAAAGCAACACTGAAGCTTTCACAAGACATTCTGATGATGTTTAGTCCTCTGCGGTATGAGAAGGATCTCTCAATATCCAAATATCATATACATTCCAGAGAAGGAGGACACACTCTTCAAAGAGCATTTTTATACAATAAAATAAAACAAAGCTAAATTCAAGCCACAGTATTAGAGACTCTGTGTATATATAACTAAGGAGACATTAATGATTAAGAAAAAAGTAACATCCCCAAATTTTGTGAAAAAAAGGCTGTGAAAAGACAATCCATAGAAGAGGAAATTGAATTTCTAACATACATATGACAAGATGCTCATCCTTACTAATCAGAGTTGTGTATCTTAAAGCCACATGAGCTGCAACTTGGGGCCGAGAGGAGTGCAGCGCTCCAGACACCTGCTCACCCACAGACTGGTGTGACTGTTGACGGGCAGGCTCCACAGACGGCTGGAGGGCGTGGTCACCAGGCCATTATTTCGGAGAGCAATTTGCCAATATTCCAAAAAGCTGAATTTTCTCTGAAGGTCTAATCATTCTTCTTCTAAAAAGCTCTACGCATAAATGGAGACATATGTATAACTTGCTCATTGATTCCAGGGGTGGAAAACCAGAACAACTCAAGTGTCCATTCATAACGAAATGGATAAGTGAGTGAACTAGTGACACACACATCATCAGGGATAAATCTTAAACACATGATATGGAGTGGAAACAGATTGTGGTACCGTTTATATGAAAGGTAAAAGTGAACAGGCTGATACTATGTATTATTTATAAGTACCTGAATAGCTAGAGAATAGCATGAAGACAGAACCATGTGCAACACGTCCCCAGGCAGGGTGTGGTGACCTCTGAGAGGGCGCCTGGCGCAGTGGATCCCTACCAAGCACTGGCTGGCTCAGCGGGACTGAGGCCTCCGTCCTGTGAGCCTGGAATGGACCCCTTCCCAGCGGCCCGCACCTCACCTCAGACGCCGCTTCTCGGAGCTGCTCCTGCCCCACACGGGGCTCTTCGGGGGGGCCGGCTCTGGAGTCCCGGCCAGCTCCTGGTCACTGCAGTCCTCCTGGTCTGTGCCCCACTTGTCCTTGGATTTCGTGCTGTCATGCTGGGAATCCAGGGACACGATGTCCGAGGGGGAGCTCATCACCCCTGAGTCCTCCGTGGTGTCCTCCGAGGCGAAGCAGCTGCCGACAGACACGGTCTCCTCGGCCTCCGGGGGCACTGGGGGGGCGCCGTCCACGCTGCAGGGATCGCCGGGCCCCGTGGACAGGCTCACTGGACGACACACACAAGGGGAGGTCAGCCACCACGCCAGCGAGCTCCCCCCGGCCTGACTCACCTGAAACTGCGTCTGTGACGGGAGCAACACTTTCCCTCAAAAAATTGGCATATTTTTAACTAAGCTTGGAGATTTTCATCCTGTACATGACTATAGGTAAGTGTGTGTGTTAGTCACTCAGTCGTGTCTGACTCTGTGACCCCATGGACTGTAGCCCACCAGGCTCCTCTGTCCATGGGATTCTCCAGGCAAGAGTACTGGAGTGGGTTGCCATTCCCTTCTCCAGGGGATCTTCCCAATCCAGGGACTGAACACAAGTCTCCTGCATTGCAGGCAGATTCTTTACCATCTGAGCTATCAGAGAAGCCTGACTATGGTAAACACATGAAAAAAATTCAGACTAATGACATGATGAATGCAATTGTTTCTAGTCTGATCCCTGGTTTAACAGAATTGTTTGAACATGAAACTTTTTTTTCTGTTAAATTAAGGTTTTCAATATGGAAACAAACTTCAAAGTGACTAATCTTGTTCAGGAACTTCTAACATATTCCTCAGGAGCAAGCGCAATTTGGCTTAATGTATTACTGACACTTTTCATCAGAGTCTGGCTCTCCCCTTATTTTTACACATGAGACAGTAAGACCTGGTTTAAATAAGAGATGTTCTTAGAAGAGAACCCTCAAGTGAAATTTAAAACAACAAGGACAAAAGCGTCCTTGGTTGCAGTTACTGGCCCCTGAGCATGGAGCGTGCAATGAGGGGGAGCAGAAGGAATATGATGCACAGAGTTGTAACTCACTACGGAGGCCTGAATCCACTCCCTCAGTCTCTGACTGAGATGCGGGAGCCAGCCATTATGAGGGACAGTAGGGGGAACGAAAGTGAGGATCCATTTTTCTGATACTGGGCTGTGAGGTGGTCTAAGAGTGTTCACCGAAAGCTCCACACTTGGAGAGGAATCCCCCTAACACTGAGGTGGGAGGACAGGTGTCTAGAACTCTGGCCCAGCTGCAGACCAGAGGTGTTTTTTCACTGAACGTAGAATAGCTTTTAAACCTCAAGACATATGATCTGCATGCTGCTTATGGTCATCCAGGAAATAATGACTGTGTTGTGCTGCAGTTTCAGTGTGTGTTTTTTGAAAATCATTCCTTCAGTAAGTAAGTTGTTGGACACCTAAAATGGATCAAGACCACACACATGCTGAGTGTAAACTCCACAGACTCAGACAATGACAGGCAAGTGACACAATAATCACACTCAAGACAGTGAGCATTTTAGCCAGACAGCAGACAAGAGACAGAGAATGAAGAAAATCAAAAGAACACCACGGAGAAAATCCCTTGAGGTGTTGCTTTCTTTGAGATCCCCCAAACAAACAAAAGAACGGGAATAAAAAACTGCCAGCTATTTAACAAAAGAGCTCACAAATAAAGATCAGAAATAAGGGAGGAATTGTTTAGAGACGCAAATGCACAAGGCAGTGTATCTGAACGCAGTGAATGCTTCTGGACAATAACCTCTTTCTCTTCGCTTTCTTCCTGTCTTTTGTTGCAAGGCTCTAATTAGAGGGCAAATACAGAGGAGAAACTCGGCCTGCAGATTAATGCCACCGCAGCCTTTTCTGCCAGGGCTCTGCTGAGACGCGGTCACACCTCGATGCCGTGTGCCAGCTGCTTTGTCCACGCAGCTGGCGGCTCCACCTGGCCTGTCACTCCCGGGCCCTCCTGCCAACTCCACTCCAAGCTGCTCCCTTGCCTGGCCGTCAGTGGCGGCCCCGACGGCCGAGCAGACGCTGGTTTCTCGCTTCCTCTTTGTCACCATCACTGAACAAGTAGGCCAATCAAACGAACACTTTTTCTCTGCGATGTAAAGAGGGCACAGTGATGGAGCATGCAGGTTTCCGGCCACAGAGGCCTGGATTCAAACCCAAGGAGGGCGGTCGACTGGTTGCCTGGGGGCATGTCCCTGGACCCTCTGCCTCAGTTTCTCCCAGGAGAGGATGCGGTGATCCTCGCACGGGCATGGACTGAGATGAGGACTAGGTGTGAAGCCAACCCACCGCAGGGTGCCCCTGGCATGTCTCCACAGCAGAGTGCATGCTGGGTTGGGAGGGCCCCCTGATCGGACTTGGGGCCACAGGCCAGCTCTCTGGTGACTCACAGTTTATGGGGGACAGACAAGAACACCGAGACCGGCAGTGCCACGTGGTGAGACCACTGGGAGTGTCTGCAGGTAGAGGGGGAGGGCTGGTCACAGGGAGGTCTCAGCACAGAGCAGAGACTGAATAAGTGTTCAGTCCAGCCCTGCCCCCCATTGCTCCAGCAGGCATCACACAAGTGTAAAGTGACCTCAAGAGACCTGCTACCTGAGGAAACACTGGGGCAGCAGCCCCCCCCCCCAACCTTGGGGTAACACTAGAGCCACCTGCTGCGAGCAGGCTTCCAGGCACTCACGTGCCCTGGAAACTCAGAAGGCATTTGTGGCAAGGGAGGACTTCGTCTGCCCCTTTCGATCTGGTTATAAGATTGAGGATGCTTGTCTGGGCTTGTTTTACACCCCTCAGAAGCTTTGAGGTGAAAACAGTTGTGAATCACCAGACCCAATCCAGCCAGTGGCAAATGCTTAGTCAGCAAGAGGTGAGAAGTCTGTACCCAGGGTGGCTGTGTTAAGCCACTGAGACTCACTGTGAGGGTATGAGTGCTTGCACGCCCCTCTTCCCAAGCGAGCCCTCTAATTCTGGAGGATGACTTTCCCCAGGGCCCAGGGGTCTCTGTCCTCGAACTTGACAGACAGGTGTCAGTGAGGGCTCACCCATATGCCTGCTCCAGGACGCGGAGCCCGCACTGGGCGGCAGGTGAGGGGACCTGCTCTCAGGGAGCCTGCAGTGTGTGGTGGGGATGGTCACACAGGGTCAGAAGGGCAGCTGCCTAGACGCCCGAGGGAGAAGGAACAGGGGTGACACCACGTGCAGCCTGCAGGTGTGGTAAGCACCACTGAGCGGGGGAGAGAGTGAGGATGGAAGGATGCTGGAAGCACAGGGTGGGTCTTCCAGTCAGAAAGAGAAATCAGCTCTTGCAAAGGTTCAAGACTCCTGTGAACCACTTCTGGGGGAGCTTTTCTTGAACTAAAAAAAGAAACCTTTTTTGAACTAAAAAGTTATTACTGCAGGACTTCTGCAAATGTAGAAAAGCACAATTTATTTTTAGCAGATGCCAAATACAAATTCAAAAGTAAATTATCTTCCAAATAAATAGTCACAGAGCTCAAGTCAGGAAATTTAATGCTTCCATTGTCCTTCACCTGAATTATATAATCCCATAGCTCAAATGCCATTACAGCGAAATGCAAGCTTTGGAAAATTCTCAAGCTTGGATGTAAAGCAGAAAGTGCTAACCTAAGATCGCATGCATGTATCCTCAGCTGTATCCAGACTCTTTGTGACCCCATGGTCTGTAGCCCGCCAGGCTGCTTTGTCCATCGGATTTCCCAGGCAAGAATATTGGAGTGGGTTGCCATTTCCTTCCAGGGTATCTTCTGACTCAGGGATCGAACCTGAGTCTCCTGTGTCTCCCACATTGGGCATGTTACCACTGTGCCACCTGGGAAGCTCAACCTAAGGCTACTAATTCCTTAAGTTGAAACAATCATTTCAGTTTGGCATGAGTCCCACTGAGCTTTTCTTTTATAAAGTCACCCAAGAAAATTTCAAACACCAAATGTAAATATCTTCCAGGTATTTTTGTAATGGATTCATTTTTATTACTTTATTAAATGAATGATCTTGTACCTTATGATATTGCTTATTTCCTGGTCATTAGGAAAAGAAATCGGTCAAGAGTCTGTTTCACCAGGTTTATCTGCCCAAAGGAAATGTCTCAACAAAAGACTAATCTCTTTCTCATCTCATCACGACACCTATGGCTCCCTTTCGCAAGCCGACAAGACATGCTCCCATCTCCTGTCTCAACCCATCTTGATTTAGTTCCCTTTGGTCTATGCATTGGGAATAAAGGGGGAAATAGAGTAGTTACCGGTGCATGCTTCAGAACTACTGGTGTCAAACTGACCTGGTGTATGTCAGTAATGTTTGTCATATACACCCCAAACTAATTTTGAACCACATATTCCCACTGACATTTTAACCGACATTTGAAAATACCCATCATGAGTTCAACTAGTTACAACAGATGTAACTTCATTGTAATTATTACTTAAATCTGTTTCATTATTTTACAAAATATAATAAAAGTAATCTGATCATGATAGTGTATTGATGTCCTGAACCCAGCATGTAAAAAGGATGAGCATGTATTGATGTCCAGAACCCGGCATGTAAAAAGGATGAGCAGTTCTCCCTTTAAGAGGTAGCATTCTAGAGCACAGCTCTTCTTTCTGGAATTTACTCCCCTCTCCCACACCACAAGAATCTCACCTAATCCTCAACGAGTGTACCTTGTGCTTGAGAGCTTTTCTACTGATTAAATAAAATGTGTATATAAATTACAATGCAATTTTTACTTCCTCTCTCAACAGAAGGTAGTGATTTTTTTCCTATACCGGGATGTGATCACTGTGATCATGAACAGGAAAGAGCCAATAAAAATTACATGAGTATTTTAGAAATGTTGACATTTCTTAAACAAAAAGGCAAAATGACATTAGAAATGCATCTATAATGACTCAGATTAGGCTTTTTTCAACTAATTCCTTAAAATTGAGTGGTTACTTAGTACTAGGGCAAGGCAGGGTATGCTATTAATGCAGTTCACATTTTTCATTCTTATCACTATTAACACATTATAAATCAGATCTGTTATTAGATATTTTGTTATCTAAATGTTATTGACTGGAGATGTGTCAATATCACTTATGTAACAAATCACTGACCACAGGTATTAGTTTCTGCCAAAATCCCCCAGGTCAATAATGACTTACGAAACTGAAAAGACCTTGTTCACATGAGTAAGTTGAAGTGAATTAAGTTTTGTTATAGTGACATCCCTCTGCTCAGTTTTTAAAACTTTGACTCTATTACACATCACTTGATCAGTCACAAAATTTATGTTGAATGACGTATTAATCGACAGTTTGCTCAGACCCTTTGTCCATTTGGTTGGAAAGAAAACTTGGAAACCACCTGATGTTCAACAGGACTGTCCACCTGCTCAGCCCTCCACCAGGAAGGCAACAGGGTAAGGCCTGCCCTCCTCAAGGAACCACATGCAAGTGAGATTTCTGGTGAATGCCAGCTTGGCGTGTCTTTTGTGATGGGGAGAAGGGCATTCAGCAAAGGGGAGCTGGGAGGACCCCCGCCCAGCTGCTGCCTGCTGTGAACTCTCAGGTACCTCAGTTCTAGGAAAGAATGCATGTGGACACATAGCATCTGGATGTAGATTCCCTTGGAAAGCCTTATGGTCTCCCAGGAGGACACATTCCCAGGTCAAGTCTGCCAACACACTCAGAAGAGGCGGGTCAGCTTATGGGCCGGAGGGGAACATGTGCAACCTGCCATGGGAAGACAGACATGGGGGCATTCTCCTACCCGGAGGGGACGGAGAGGGGCCGTGACCTGGGCCGTGAAACAAGCAGAGCGGCGGCAGGTGGAGGACAGTGACACTGGAGGATGAGCAGTCAGACACGCAGGCGGAGTGGGAGGCGGCGTGTACTGCGCCTGGGCGCTGGCGAGTCTTGCGTGGGTTACGTGGCTGTGTCAGCGCGCGCGCATGCGTGCAGACCGCAGGAGCAGCGGCGCACTGTGGCCCCAGTCCCGGCTACCTTCCTCTCCTGTTATCGGTCCTCTCATTACAGTCTCCTCAAGCTGAAGTTTATAGATTTATCCCTCTATGAACTGACAGTCTCTTTCCCTGGATGGGCACCATTTAATATTCGGAAAAAATTATAAAAAAATAATGTGTAATCTATCTATAACTGAATCACTATGCTATGCACTGGAAAATAACACATTATAAATAAACCATTCTTTAATAAAAACATATTATATAAAAGACATTTTATATTAACAGTTTTGTCCAAAAGCCCCATAGACCTAGGATCCTCAAATATATTGAGGACGATAACAATGCAGCCAGTTCCACATAGAGCAGTGCATGAATACATATTTTTTTCAAGAAGGCAGGATAACAAAGACCTTGAAATCATTTATGGATCTAAAATTGACCTGAATCCTTTGAAGAGTCACATAATGTACTCTTGGCTTCAATCAGTCTGTATTTCTCCAAAGCATGAACCATAACCCTAATCCTAGAATCCTAATGTGCCTGTTAGAGACACAGAGTAAGTCCCCATTTTCCCCATGGTAAGACCGGGCTGCTCTCAGATTGCTCTTTAATGAAAACCTATATAGGCACCTTCTGCTTCTTCTGTCTGTCCACACTGCCCCTTCCCTGACTGTGCCACACGAGTGCCTCCTTCCTGGAGCTAACCTTGTTTGCAACAGCTGGAAAGGTCTAACTGCCCGCTCACTACTCCTGGCTGCTGGCTTGGGGTGTGAGATGAACCCGAACCTGGCCAATCAAGCATTGTGCAAAGATGGGCATATGTCTCAAGCTGGACCAATCAAGGCCTTTCTCAGGGCCCTCCTGCCACAGCTACTGGGCAAGTGGCCTCACTGGGCTGGAACCCACAGAGCGGGAGGAGGCCTGGATAACTTACAGTCATCTGGACCAGCACATGGGGAGGGCTTGTCCACAGACAGATAGGAGCATGGGCCTAGGACAGCGTTTGGGCTTGGGGACCCCACTGTGACTACAACAAGGATGTATTTCCTAAAATTCCCAGTTATGTGAGCAAAAGAAATTTCACAACAACCCACTTCTTTGTAACTAGTTCAAAACACATTTCTTGGAATTAAATAGTCTTGTCTAATAA